AGGGAAAGTGACTGAGAAAAGTAAACTGGCAAACTCAGTACACCAGTGCCCTTTGCAGTTTCTAAATCAGGCTACACATGAAGGGTCCGTAAATAGGAAAAGGTTCACCACAACCATTACCGCTACCAAGGACCTCCATCTGTGTCTTAATGTCTGGTACTTCCTTTACAAGGCAACTTTGTTACTTAGCTATCAGTAAACAAACTCGCTTAAGTGGGCACAAAGTATCTGGCTTTTTCCCCTCCCTTAGGCAATTTCCAGCCGAGGTTTGTTCCGTTCCTAGGACTAAAGTGGGATGAGGACGGAGAGGCTCCTTCTTACATATTTGAGTGTTCTTGCATTTTTGTTTCAGGCAGGCGCTTGAAGTTGGCGAGAACGTCATCCGTCTCAGAGAAGCTGGTATGTGCTGGACTGGACTTACCTTATTTTTGCAGAGAGATACTCGAGGTGTTTGCAGGGAGGTGTCAGGTACGTGCAGCTGCTCATCAGCTGTCGCTGAACACTGCGACTGAGAAGAGGGACTGACTCTGCAGCCGGTACAGCTATGGTACAGCTATTACCCCACAAAAACGGGGCTGGAAGTCAGGCAGCGTTCTGTGGCATTTTACAAATAGCTAGTCTTCTGACAACTTTCTGGCTGATCTGCCAAAGCCAATCATCTGTAGGTTGTCCTTTACCTCATCTGGTAGGGAAAAAAGCACAGACAGAAGCAGTCTGCACAGCTGGGATCCTTATTAAGGATGGTCTGACAAGGTTCCGTATGAACAGAATTTTGCCATTCAGTCCTAATTTCGTTAGAAAGGTTAACATTTTAGAGTTCTGGGTATACCATGATTCCTCTCTGGTTTTGCTTGTATATTCTGTATTTATTGCTATTGCATCTTTATTTTTTTTTCCTCAGGTGGCCCTTACTGGTTAGAATAGACCCATTTTGTTGGAGGCTCGAACTATGCAAACTGGGTAGTGAAGATGATTCTTTTCAGTTACGCTATGAAGGCGTGTGGTAGGCGAGGCAGACGAAAGATGGGTGTGTTCTTTGTAGCTAAGGCAGTTTTATGTTGCTTCTGGAACTGGAGTCTCATCTGGCCTCTGCCATAAAACTTCCTCCTGGTCAGGCTGTGCGTACACTTGCACAGGGTCCCTGTGAGATCTCCAGGTTCAAGCAGAAACGAAGACTGCAGGCGGGGAGAGTCTCCCAAGTGCTGTCTGGTCACAGGAGGGCTCTGCTCTGTGCATACCGTGCTGTGAAAGCTCAGGTTAGGTTCTTGAGGCACTCAATGTCCCAGCTTGGTGTTGGTTCTCCATGTTGAATATAGTGAGAATATTCTCATTTCGCAAGAGGCTGCAGGATTAGTTGTTAGAATAAAAACCGCTCACACTTTGATGTGGCTGCCACCGGGTACATTGTGAAAAAGATGGATACAAAGTTTTAATGTACAGTTAAGCATTAACTCAAGCTGCAAAACTGTGAACAGCCACTAACACAGTCATTGGGGTCAGGGGCTTGGCAGGAAGAAGTGTATGATTTCATGGCTATGATTCTTTGTGCCAATATAAACGGATTCAGGGTTTCAAAAGTAACCATGCTTCTCGTGTTTTGAGGTGTTTGACTTGGTAACTCTTGAATATGGTCCCAAGACAGAACACTTGAGGTAATCAAGCCTAGACACTTTATGCTTTTAAAGAACAGGTCTAGGAGTCCTCAGATAACTTTGTTAAAAACACTCTTCCCGACAGATGCAGTTGGCCTGCAAATTAACATTTTAGCAATTTAGCTGAAATATTGAAACATTAAATATAAGATGAATGGGAACTTGCATTCTTGACCCTGTTATGCTCAAATGGGAGGGGCGGAGCCTATTTGTCTAAAGGGGTGAAAAATGTTTGCTAGAAAAATTACAATTAAAATGTAACCTAATTCTCTGATACTGGAATTATGTGGTGCTTGGTAAATTTTTCTACTGCATAAAGGATCTAATGTACCATTTCTGTGATAACCCTGTGTCAGGCAGGAGAGTGGTGCTGGGGAGCAGTTCCGCAGTCTACTGTAAGGCTTTGTCACCAAGCTGTTCTGCTGACCGATTTGCTTCTGTGAGTGGGGCCGACGGTTCAGACCTTTTCAGCCGTTCAGAGCAGTGGTAGTTGAGCTGTTCCAGAACGAAGACCTCCAGGTATGACCTGTTCTGAGGAGCAAGCCTACTCTTAAGAGGAGCTTGCTGCTGCTTAAGAGGCTCCTGTGGCGCACTGGTAACATAATTTATGGCAAAAGGAAGGGTTTGTTGTCAGATGTTTTTCCTAGGTCTGCCTGACTCTATTCGCTTTGCCATTTATGTGTTTGATACGTTCAACAGAAGTCTGATATCACACTTGGAAATGACACTGTTTTCAGGTGAAGAGAGAACAGTAAGCTACTGCAAACATAATCACACTTCTAGCCTGAATTTAGTCATCATGGCTTGTTAATGATGCTTCAGGAGCTTTTAACAAAATTCTTAGGTTATGTTCCTGAGGCAATACACTGGACTAACCAGATTTTGAAGGAGGTGATAAAACAGCAGGTGTGTAGTAGTTCCTGAAAACACGTTTAGAAAGAGAAGTTGCTGGGGAAGAAACCCCCTCATCCTCTTGTAAGAGTAAGTGATAATGTTCTGGAGATAGGAATCTACAGACTGTAGCTAGGAATAGATTAAAAAAAAAACCACCTTAGAGGATAATTAAGACATCCTACCCTGTGCTAATTCACTCCTTGCAACTTGTACTGGCAAGAATGAGGTAACGGGATAAGGTGGACAGTCTAGTAATAAAGAAACTTTGCGACCCCTTTAGTTTCTCTTTCTGCTATGCTTCCTATGACCTCAGATGAAGTTCAGCTAGTTCCCCTTTCATATAAATACCTTCTAAATAAATGTATTCCCATACAAGTATGTAAATACCTTTTTGTTACGGGGTAGAACACAGCAGTAAATATAGCTGCCAGATATATTAAAATCATGCCAGCTAACTTAAGTAGAACAAACAGTAGTGCTTGTTTGTTTTCCAAGCCTGGGACAGTGTCATGGCTATCCAAGAAAGAGCTGGGGAAAATGAGGGAGGACTTCATCATCAGTCCAAAATGCACAAAGTAGGTAACTACTGAGCATCAGGGCACAGGGCAGTAGAGACCTTCACTAAATGACTACAGTCAGCACAGAAGGGATCCATCCTTCTGTCCTTGCTTATTAAGGAGACGCAGCTCCTTAGGAGACATCGGCCCTGCATGCATCTGGGCCTACTCCATAGGAAGCTTCCCCCACAAACGCATCATTAGTATCCCAGCTAGTTACACTAGCACAGCCGTAGATTAAGACTTCTCTAACATCACTAGTACAGCAGTTGAGAATAATGTTCACAAACCGATTTTTTTTTTATTTGAGTAAGAGATGTACATATTTATCAAGAGACACAATTCCACTATTTTCCAGAAGTGTATGATAGACAGGAATTTTCTGGGCCATGTGGTCTTTATGGTTTTGTCAATTTTCTTCTTCCTGAGTTTATTCTGTCGTCAGAAAACTACCCTTGCAAGTTCAAACAGAACCTGTGGAATAGCAAACACATGATATGAATTTTTATTTGATTTAATAATCCTTAAAACAGCTTACACTGTAAACAAGGTAATCTGAAAAATAACTATAGCTGCAATTCAAAAGTTTCTTGCTAAGAACTGAAGACTAATCCCCTTGTACAGTACATTACATTAATAAAATAATCTTGATTCTCCAAGTATGAAGCATATAAATTGTACTTGTTATTACATTTTCAGTGTGATAGTGGAAAAAAACCCACCAACCTCTATGGTAATGAGTATTACTATCATCCACTCGAGGCGCAGAGCATGCTTTTCATTCAGGTGATTTCGCATTAGGTCTGTCAACTCCATGCAGTGCTGAAGCTTTTCATTCATTACCTGCAAGAGATTCCAAATATGTGGCAAATCTGGATTCCATAAGGGGAATGAGATCACTAAATAAGGAAGACAATCCACAGAAGGGCTCACTGAACAGAACTAGAAAGGTGTTAACACTTCTGCAAAAGAATAGAACAGAAAGTCCTGTAAGGCAACATGCACAAGCAACAGAAGTTTCAATATAAATGAGTTTGTTATTCCAGTAGGTTCACAAAAATAATAGAAATTTAGATATGCATCTGCAGGCATTAAACCACTTCTGGGTGATAATCTACTCATGAAAACAGGCACAAGCAAAAGAAGATGCAGTTTATTGGAATGCCTCAAAAATAACTAAATATTTAAGGTTGCTGTACCACCAGAAGAGGTAGTTTTTGTGCTTCTTATACTGGTTCAGC